TATCCCAATCTCTGCTCAACATTTAATCCTGAAAATACAATACCAGTAATAGTAAATTATTATGTTCCTTTTTTGGTTATGTATTTATTTTTATAATGACATATTATATGAACATCATTTGTATGTGTTTATATTGTATTAATATCATATACCTAAATTGTAAAACTTAAATAATAAACTATAAATTCAATTATTGTCATTTGAAAATATTTAGTTTATTTAACTATATACACAATACACAAGTTATAAATTATTAAATGAATGGGCGGAGAAACTATACAATAATAATAAACAAAAACTAAATTATTGTCCTTTAAAAAGAGTAAGTTTATTAAACCACATCCGAACAGAAGGGGTTTCATTGTGTTTTTTTAATTTGTAATTTATTTTTATATTTATATAAGTAGAAGATATAGATTTTATTAAAAGAGTTGTATGGTCGGCTAATGGACTTCTGGTTTCAGTACTATGATTTTTTAATGATTTAAATATATTTGAATTAAATACAAAATGTTTAAGGACATCGGTTTGAACTTGTAATTTATTTACAGCTTTAGAAGTATAATCATATGTTCTCAAAATGTTTTCTGTAATGAAACAAACATCTATGACATCTTCGCTTGGAAAAATAAGTCCACCATGAATGCCTCCCTTATTTTTTAATGTTATCAACGAATTTAAAAAACATTCTTTTTCGGCAGCACACAATGCATGTTTGCAAACATCACATTTCAGTACATTGGTCAATTTATGATCTACAAATCCTGAAATATAAATAATGATTTCTTTTGAAAAATTACTAAAAGAGTATGAACTGTGACTTCCAATATAATCATGGTCCATTATAAATGCAGAAATATCTTGTTCATTTTCTTCATCAATTGGATCAAAACTGCAACCTGAAGAATTGTTATTTAAAACAGTAACTGGATCTGAACTGGAGTAGTGAAGAATATCTATCTCTTCAAGTGGTATACAATTACCAGTATTAAAACTTGGTATATCATTTGTTCTGATAACTAATTTTCGGTATGCTGAACGAAACTGCCTCACTGTTGGATTATTGTTATGCCCACCGTGGGCCCTTATACTACCGAAAAACAGTTCTAGGTGATCTTGGCTAAATTTATAAATTTTCATATGTTGTAAGACATCAGTTTCCACAAACAATGTATATAGCTGTAAAATACTATTTAAACTGACTATAAATCCAAGAAACCCAGTTTTTCGTTGTGATTCAAGTACGGGTGTAAAAACTCCTGGTCTATCTTGAATTTTAAGACCTTTAATATATGTTGTCATTTTTTCTGTGAACAATCTAACTTCTTGAATGTTTTCTTCACATAGTGTTTTTTTAAATCCTACACAGTTGATAGATTTTGAGTTTAATATGTCAAAGCCAGTATTAAAGAGTTCGATAAATTGTATGGTAGCACCTGCATTAGAAAACTCTTTTAGTTTGAGGCTATCTTTGCAAAATGTCAATGCATCTGCTACTGACTGACTAAGTAGTTGGGTTGCAAGTTTTACTTTCATCTTTTGTTTAAAATAAAGAAGATGCTGTTTTCGCAGTTTATTAGCAAGATGGCATCCTTCCTTCTCTTGCAAATAACACAATTGTCGGACATATTCAAATTTTATTTCACTATTTTCACTATCTCTAAAGACCTTCTTTTCACCAAAAGCATTACGAACCAATTTGATCATATGTGCAGGATCAAAAAGGTTTACAATTTTTGGATTACTTTCAAAGCCAGAAGAAAAAGATGTATCTAATGCACTCAAAACATAATTACAACCTAAAAGTTGAGCTGCACTAATATTACTAGAACAACCATCAAATGTTAAGCTCAAGACTTTTACACCAGTGCTGTTCAATACATTTAATGCGTGGCGAACTAGTTCAACTTTTTGTGCACTTTTTAAAGCATCCACTACAAAATAACCAATTGGTAACTTCCAATTCTCATTTACCGAGACTGCCATAAAAACTAAACATTGTTTAGCTGTGTTTAAACTATCATTATCCATATAATTTCCCATATCAACCCTTCCATAATACTTAGTACCATCAAATTCCAGGTGTTGTCTTATAGCCATTTCATCCATAGACAAAGCTAATAAAATAGGATGGGGTGAATTATTTACTTTAAGTGTTAGCATCTTTAACGACTCTTCAGTAAAACCTGGTTCAGCATTGACATTTCTGTACCATTTACTAAGAGTTCTACTATGAGGCAAAATCGTGTCAAACTGCTGTCTTACATACGAATATGCTTTAGCAGAAAAAAAATGTAATGATAAAGCAAATTGACGAATGGTGGCACTATATTTCTTTGGAACTTTTTTACCTAATTTTTTTTTTGTCCAATTAGTTATCAAATCTTTATGCTTACCAAAAGACTCAGACAGGGTATAACTGGCTTCCTCGTCAATTTAATTTTGTTTTTGAAGCTCGGAAATTATATTCTTCATAGATGAAATTCTTTTACTTTGGCGCCTTATTTTTTGCTGAAGGGTTTTCATTTTAATATTTTTGATTGTGACTTCATGTGATAGTTGGCGAAGATTTTTTTTCAATGCGATTTTGCGTGGAGTGTCATCTGGAACTATCTCAGTGTCTATGGACATTGTGGATGAGTCAAGTACATTCTAAAAAAAAAATTATAAATAAACAAATATATTGTAATTTTATGATTAATGTATATACAATATTGTATTATAATTTTTAATATTACCGAGATATTTTTTTTTGATGTGATTGTTTCACAATTCATCATTGATACAGAAGAATTGTCTAATGGTAGTACTCCTTCTTCTTCAGTAGAACTTGATTGAACTTGTTCCAACAAAGATACTCTGTCCACCTCTATATTGCTCAAAGGACACTAAAAATAACAACATAAAAAATGTTGAGACTTGATAAGCAACAAATAAACATTTTAACAGAAATATAATATTAACAATGACCAAATATGGTGACTGTTAGTTTGATATATAAATTGTATGAATTGAAGAAAATGTTACTTATACCTTTTTAAAATAATATTAATACAACTTTAAGCAATTTTCATTTATCTGAAATTTAAATTATAAAACATACCCAATTGCTTTATGTTTTATTAGTATTAGGTAGTATATTTTTGTAATTTATTATATTCTATTGTGTATTGTAAATTATCATTAATTATGACTCACCTTTACTAAAGTTCTGGTAACATTTAAAGAAGCAATATTTTCAACTGAATCGCTAGCAGAACTAGTATAAAAAGTTTTAATTACAGGCAAGTTGGTTACAGTTTCTGAGTATTGTTGTTTAGCCTAAAATAATAAATGTAGATTAAATACCTATCCGTTATAGAGTTACTTTGTTTTTTTAATCTACTCAAAATGCACACTTACACATTTTATTCTGTTGATAATTTTAGTTGGAATAGCATGTTTAAGTAACAGTCTTCTACTCTTCCCCATTACAAAAAATGATTCGTCAAAATGTGCTGAACAAACTAAACTTGTCTTTGATACTTTATCAGGTAGTATGCCATTTTCTCCCAAAAAATTGTACCATTTATTCTTGTAAGTGTCTTTAAGCGGAAATCTGAAATAAATAGTCAAAGTAAGTCTATCATAATCACTTCTAAAAAAAAAAATTGAAAATAAAGATTTCATTTCACAAGATAACATACCTATGAAAAGTTATATTAGCCGATTTAGCTTTGGCATTGTTCGTTCTTCCACAAACTAGACAACTAGGCATTTTTAATATTACCAGCAAAAAGAAATAAAAACAGTAAAAGCAAGTTGCAAAATAAACGCAATAACGAAAGTAAAGAGTAATAACTGAATTACTGAACGATCATACCGCATGAATATTACACTATACCGTCTAAACCATAGAAAAAAGATACTAAACAGTAAACAACAATAATGAAATTAAGAACACATGGCATATTAGAGGGAAACAACACACGAGATAACAAATGTATCGAAGATAACGGCATTACAGGTGAATCGTTTTACCATATATTGTACAATAATTTTTGTGTACTATCCACTTAAACTGGCAATCATAAACCTTTTGCGCTTCACTTTCTTGTGCAGCTGAGATATGTAAGGCCCTCTCTATATTACTCTATGAGATAAATCAGACGATGCATGATAGTGAGGAGACTGGTTTTTCCATAGCTCATAAATATATTTATAAAAATAATACTTTTTTTTTTTTTATTAGCTATCGGCATAAAACCATTATAGCTCAACAATTACAGTTAGTATATAATACAGTAGATAAGATTACATAATAATATAAATATAAAGATTATCAAGAAGTAATATAAAATAATAACAAGATTGCATGTTAGCACAAAACAAGATATAGCATATAAAATTAAATACAATAGTATTTATGGTGTATTAAGTTTATGTATAACAGCTGTAAGCAGAGAGAGGAGGGGGTTAATCAGTGAGGATAGCTCGGACAGAAAGTTAGATAATGTGGAAAGGTCACCGAAAGAATTCAACCTAATGTTATTTTTAGTAGCATTGGTATCATCGGGCTTGGAAACAACAGATGCATAAGACGGTTTGGACTGAGAGGTAGTAAAAGTGTTTGGAAGAGATAATTCGACCGGTTTATTTATTTTGGGAGTCTGCGTTCGTTTTTCGTTCTTATGGTTTTTAAGACGTTTTGAAAGTGAATTGAAAGCTGGGCAGCCTCTGTAATTGGCTGTATGATCACCAGCACAGAGGGCGCATTTGGCTGGGCTGTTTCGGTCTTTTGTGCATTCCTCGGCAAAATGATCTTCGCTGCATTTGACGCACCTAGGAGTATGGTGACAATGATTTCTTGTGTGTCTGTAGTTTTGACATTGATGACATTGTGGGGGGCCCGACGGGTTTTATGAGGCTTCTCGATGACGACAATGGTGTTGAGTAAGGACGTAATGTTAAGAACATCATTGTTGTTATTTTGGGGAAATAAGTCGACGAAAAACATTGGGAGAGCGAACTTGTTTTTATTTTTAATATTCATTACGTGTTTCACGGAATGTCCTTTGTCTAGCAAGGCGGTGGAAATATCCGTGCACAGAGTAGTATGGTGAAGGTTTTTTATATACTTTATAGTATTATAATCATTAATCATTTTTTTTTTTTTTTTTTTTATTAGCTTCTAGTATAACTATGATAGCTCAACAATTATTTGAGAATATAAAATACAAATAGTTACAAGATAAATAAGATACATTAGTTCCGAAGAACTGTACAATATATAATATTACGTAAGCAATTAAAATTGATTATCATTGCAAATAGTGAGTTAATAATGAAAACGATTAAATAATATAATATTGCTTTTCTCTGCGCCCTCGTGTGCTTGACATATTCCTTTTGTTCTTCCATAAGTTAAATCCGGTTCTTCACATAGTTTCTTTTTAAGCATACGGTCGCTTACACCATGAACTATTTGATCACGTAATGCTTCCTCCAAGTTATTTCCAAAACTACACAATATTGATAATTTTTGTAGTTTTGTAATAAATTCAGTGATCGTTTCATTGTTTTCTTGTAGACAATTACGGAATTTGGAACGTTCAGCAAGAATCGAAACTTTCGGTTGTAAGTAATTTTTCATATTACTTACTAGCTTTTCATACTCGACATCTTTAGGTAGTTCTGGAGTACAAAGAGATTTAAGTACTTTATAACCTTCACTTCCAATTAAGGTTAAAAATATAGCTGATTTCTTTTCTTTTATTTTATTCACCAGCATATATAGTTCTAGTCGTTCTACCCAAGTTTCGAAATCTTCTTCTTGCTATAATTTGAATTCTTCTATATTACCAATTTTAGCCATTTTTTTTTTTTTTTTATCCGTTTTGATCCGTGTGAATTTGATCTTTAATAACACTTCTCAAATCTCATCTTCGTCGCCACTTTTGTGTCTCGAGTATACTAACACAAAACACTGTATTTTAATATTAATACTTTATTTAAATTATTAACATGATGATGCGTTTTACACCTTTTTTACATAATTATATTGTTGAGGTTACAAGTGAAAAACATATACAACACGACTTGTGTATATCATGAGTATGTGTGTGTGTGTTGGATTACCGTTACCGCACAATACGCAGTGTCGCCAACACCACAGCTATGATACATCTGGTCAGGCTGTCCCACGGGCTCCCTTATAAGTAATGGCGGTTCCTTTGATGTAGCGGCGCGTGCAGCTTGTATGTGTGTGTGTTTCGGTTGTTGTTGCCAATTCTTAGAATAGCGACTCGTGTCTATGATTTCTAGTCGTGTACCTGTCCAGTGATTTATGGATAGGGGCGGATAGTACATATTCTATATTATATTGTTGCAATATTTATGTTAATTATAAATATGGAGTTTAAGACCGTAATAACATTATGATGGCAGAATAATATGTGGTATGATGGCAGAAGCTGATATGTACATTTTTTAAACTTTCGGGAAAACGAGTTTAAAGGTTTAGAATGGAATGAAAAATACAATTTGGTATGAAATGCATTTATTCTTTTATAATTGTAATCAATAACCTTTCACGAATTAAAATACTAAGCTATAATACATAAATTATTTTTCAAAAAGTTTTTAAGTAGAAAATAAAGACATCATTTTTTGCCAACATTTATTTTTTTAAATTTGCAACATATCAACAAAATAAAAATGATAAAATTAACCTTTTTTAAACACAGTATTAAAGCATACAAAACAATTTTAGAATAAAACAACAAAATTAATTAAATAAATGTAAAAACATAAAATTGATCTTTTAACTCTTAGTCAATAAATAAAAAAAATGAAATTAGCCTTTTATAAAACTTAACAATATAACAATTAGTTAAAAAATTTAAATAAAATACAATAAAAGTAAAAAATAAAACAACTTTTGGTTTTAATTAATAATATAAAATAATTATAATTTTAGCCTTCATCTGATGAAAAATCACTATTGTTTGAAGGCAGTTCAGCAGCATCTTTGGACGTTTTTAAGTTTTGGTAGAAGCTATGGCAGTCTTCATGTATCAGTGGCAATAAACTTAACAAATCTTGTTTTTTTTTGGGGTTGATAGGTAAAGGACTTTTATAACAATTGGTTAACGCTGTTGAATATAATGATGTTATATTTTTTGGCCTTCCTCTTTTACCACGTTGTGTAAGATCTAAGACTCTAAATGGTTCTTCTGGATTGAGGCTATACTTAAACTGCAACTCACCATAAACTTTTTCATATCGGATCCATCTTATATGAAACCAATTTACTTTATTCCCATCAGTATCTACTGTTTTTTTAGTCAGTGAAGTGCTTACTAAGTTTAAAAATGAAAAAAACTGTTCTTGTTTCATTTCAATTACTTTAAATGGTTTCTTTCCTTTTACTGTCCTAACAAATTGATACCAATCTCTTGGTATCATTATAGGAATGTCTGAAAATTGTTTCGCACTTTCTATTTTTGCATGATCTACATCACACTCCAAGTGAGTGTGGCCTGGCAGTAAAAATTTTTGGTCAATTATATGCAACGTTGAAGAACTTGCAGTAACTAGACTTAACATAGCAGCCATATTAATATTTCTGTTTTGTCCTCCACATATTGTGTCAGAGTAAGTGATAATATGGGTTACATTGTTGGGCAAATTTAATATTTTTTGATAAAGACAAGATGCTATGTCGTTTGATCCTCTTCCTCCAATTGCCTCATGCCACATAAAACATTCAGTACCTTCATTTTCAGAACAATCTCTAATGGTCAAGTTAAATGTTGATAAAAGCCTTTTGTATAATGAAACATTTGTAGAGAGAGCAGGAGTATCTAGAACTTGTTCTAAATCAAATACTAAAACTCTAATATTATTAGAAGCTAAAGCATTGATTTTATCTTCTTTTTTTTGTATATAACCTAAATCTGCGAGTTTTTTATGGGTTTCATGTTGTTGTTGGAGTAATATCTTTTGTTGGTTATCCTTACATTGTTTAATTTGTAGTACAAAAGTATCACAAGTCTTACATGTATCCAGTTTTGGTTTTTTAAATTTATAACCAGTTTTATTAAAAACTTCTTTAAACAAATCATATGATCCACATTTGTTACCATTTTTCTCTAGTTTATATTCTTCATACAACTTTTTAATATTTAAATGACATTGAAGATAAAATTTATTTGTGTGCCTTCGAGAATAGTGACTCTGGTATTTAGGATATTTTTCAATATGATTTCTCATTTCTTCTTTTTCTTTTGTCATTTTATTATGTGGTTCATGGTGGCCACGATTATCGAGCTGCTGTAATGTACCTGAATCACTGAATTTTTTTTTCTGTATCAGCAAATCAATTTTACCTCTAGTCACTCCATACACACTTTGAAACATCTTTTTACATACTGTTATGTTTTGATTTTCTATTTGTATCACTTATAAAACAGTTATTAAACGATCATGATTTATTCCATGTTTACCTCTTCCTAGTCTTGTGCTTTTTTTGTCAGCCAAAGTTATTCCACAAGACATAATTTGATGCTGAATTTCTTTTTCTAATTTATAAAAACCTTCAAATATAATTTTTTGTTTATCTGGTGAACAGATAATGTCACATTTTCTACGACAGCAATTAATTAATTCCTTAAATTTATTTTGAGGAATTGTTACTCCTTTGCGATTAATATGTTCCATTCCATGATCTTTCAAATATTTCTGTTCAATTCTTTTTTCTTTTTTGGTGGTTCGTGGATGTCTATTTCATCGATAACTTCAGTATTAACACCATTGTTGTCTTTTTGTGATACAATAAATTAAAAAAAAATAGTAATAATTACAGAAAACAATTAAATATTATGTACTTACTTTTAAATTAGTTTAATGAAATTTTATTTGTGTACCTAAATTAGAAACTGGCAGTTGCTCTTCACACAATGTTATAATATTTTCATCATGGATATCTATTTCATAAGTATTCTCAGTATTAGGACCATTATTACTCTCTTTTGGTAAAAATAAAAATAAAAACATAAGAAAACAAAATATACCTATTTTCAAAAAGTTTATTATTATATATTTACCTAAATTAAAAACTGCTGGTATATCTTCAGGAGATATAATAATAATATTGTCATCATCAATTTCATTGAAAGTTACAGATTTGGAACTGTTATTGGTTTCTTTTGATAAAAAATAAATAATTATAATAATATAATGAGAAAATACTGTATACAGTATAATACACTTTTGAAATAATATTTTAATACTATTTTATTATATTTACCTAAATTATAAAGGGCTGGTACATCTTCAAGTGATACTGTGTCATCATGTACTTCAAAGTCATTTGTATTATGACATACTAAAATTAAGTAAAATTAGAGGTAAAATAAAATATTTTATACAGCATAATTTGTATTTATTTTTATATTTATATTACATAAAACAAACAGTACCAGGTTCAGATTCTGAATCTGAGCATATTAGCTCTGTATTGATGTTATAGGTTTTGTCCAAAATATCATCGTCATTAATCATTATTCTCATCAGAGCTACTATTAATTAGTAATGAATTATTCTAAAAAAAATGTGAATACAACTTATTAAAAATAAGTGAAAAACAGCATTAATTGTATTTTACCTGATGAAATTCATTTTGTGTTGAATTGAGCCACTCATGGACTTTGTGATGATTATTATTATAATATACTGGCTTTACTTTTTTTCTCGTGGAATGCCTCTGCAATAATATTATAATATTATTACAATATTAATAATGTTAACTTTCATTTATACTATAAACTACCAAAATAGATTTATTTATGCTATACTTACTTCAGGCTTTGCATTAGTTTTTGTTGTTTGTGCACTTTTTAAAGATTTAAAAAAAGATGACCTAGAGTTAAACATTGTACGAAAAGTAACACCACAGAATATACTAACACAGCTAAAACCAGCAAACAAAAAACTATAGTAATTAGTAAACATCAAACTAGACAAACTATACAAATCTAAAAATATAACGTCTTAAAGATTATAAAGATAAGACATATCAAGTTTTGCCATCACGTATATTTTTAAATAATGACTTATCAGTTTTGGTTTTTGACATATCAAGTTTTGCCATCATGTATATTTTTAAATAATGACTTATCAGTTTTGGTCTTTGCTCATAGATGGCGCTACACACATAAAAGACATATCATCTTTTGCCACCATTTAAAACATACTATTTATCAACTATTTACATGATAATCCAAAAATCAACAAAAAGTGACATATCAGCTTGTGCCATTATACCATCATCATATTATATACTATGTTATTATATAGCGAATAGTGGTGTCAAGGCCCGCAACAATTACAATAAAAAAAAAAATATATAATAACGTTTTTATATTCCATTTCCTTAAGCATCATGTATTTCTCGTCAAAATGAAGTTATTCGCTTTTCATTATCCGCCTAGCTTTATTGGTTTTGAAAATGGTTTTTGGGGTTTTAGGAGTGTGCTTTTTGTGAATTTATTCCAGATGCGATTAAAGAGATTTACAATTTTAATGGTTTTTTTTTTGTCATACAACGTACTATCGTTGTTTCGTAGGAGAAATTCTAGTGCACGGATTAGTCGGTTGATGACTTCATTCGTTTAATTTTCTTCTTCATCTTCCGAGTACACTGAGCAGTCGTACTATTAAAACATACCACTTTTATCTTCGACAATCTCCTTTCTCTACTTGGTGCTACCCGTAATCCTGTGGGGTCTTATTTACCTCTATGCTCCACTGTTCCTGTGAGATAGGTTGTGGTTTTCGGTTCACATTGCCCATTATTCGAATATCTGTACCGGAAAGTTGTTCTTGCATGTATCAATACAGTCTAGGTATTTGCTGTTTTCAAAAAACATTGAAAATGGTTTACTGGAGTAAACAGTAAATTACCATATACTATTTTATATTAGGTATAATATATGTATAAGGTGAGTTTATGAAATACATATAATTTATTATTCATATGTATATAACATGTAAAAATTCTTGTACGATAATATCCGTATTTTATGCTAGTGATTTTAAATACGATCATAATATCCCATAATATCCAAGCTTGTTATCTTTATGAAACTGAAAATAAAATAGTAAAATACATCTGTGTTAATATATATATAGTGAAGTAAGTAAAATAAATTCTCGGTGATTAGGTGCTGGCACGTATATCCAATGCGTATATTAGAGGGGTTTCAGTCCACTGATTTTTTTAATCATAATCAGCTTAAGAGATATGACCTTATTTAAACCCCTCACATAGATCACAACAATCTTTTTTGGGTAAATATAAAGCAAGATTCCTTATGTCAAATTCTTGAAAAAAGTCAGTTTTGCAAATCACTTTTTTCTGGTTTGGGCTGATTCAGATTCATAGGCATTATGCAAGGCAGTCTTTGATTCAAACAATGATTCTAGATATTCTTTAATTTCGACTTAAGAGGTTTTGCCACGAAGCCGACGAAATGCAAAAGAAAAGACCAAATAAAAAAAATCAATGTAAACTCTTAAATTTAGATGGCTTCTACACTGTATTATGATTGAGGTCTATGGATGTGTCTTCCTTATTTTGGATTTTGATTTCTAGAGCTGCTTCTTCTTTGTCCGGTTGCTCATCGGCGATCCTTCTTCGATTATTGAAACGGCCTCTTCAATTGAATTTTGTTCCTGCGCGTTTATGTGAAGCTCAATTTCTGGCTCTTCTTAT